ATTGTTATAGATTATTTTAGAATATCATTTTAAACATTAAAACCTTGAGAGCTGCATGAAAAGGGCATGTGCTTAAACTGTACAAGGACAAAAAACATTTCCCATTTAGGATTAGTACTTTTAATTCACGCAGCGTTACACAGATGTAACTTAAATTTCAAAAAAAGTATACAGTGTATTATCCTGAAGACTTTTAAAATGAGAAATTAGTTATACCTGCTGAATTGGACTCTGTGCCTGAAACAGTATTCTTCGTCCAAGTAGTTCTGCAAAAATGCAGCCTACAGACCAGATGTCAATAGCATTGCTGTAGTGACGGCTGCCCATCAGGATTTCTGGAGCTCGATAATACTGAGTGACAACTTCCTGAGTCATGTGGCGAGATTCATCTAATTCTTCCACCCTGGCCAATCCAAAATCACAAATCTAAATTGAGAAGGTAAACAAAAAAAATAAAATAACCAAAACATTTAATGCACTTCACATAGGTATTCCTTTGGTAACGAAATATAAAAGCCCAAACTAGTATTATATCTTTAAAAAACAAACAAACCCTATATTCCTGCAACTGAATGGCTGCAGATTTTATTTAAAAAAAAGGTTTGGGGAAGCAAGCATGCTTTAGTCCCAAAAAATATTAAGCCTCTACAATTTCTACAATTATTTGAATGTTATTTAAAATGACAATGCAATTTCTCAGTCAGTATCATACTATTAAGCTAAACTATTACAACTTCCTAAAACATTTTGCCCTTAAAATAAATAAATAAATAAAATACTGACAACCTGCTAGGCTCAAAATGATTCATTCCAATTGACATTTCCTTTTATGATGGTGCTGCTCAAAGATGTTAGCAGCGAGATTTGGCCTTTCCTCTCACTACAGTGGCCTTCTGTTGATTTCATGTCCCTCCCAGAAAAAAGAAAAAATTATTGGCCAAGATTTCTAAAATTAGACTCCTAAAGACAGAAATTAAAAAAAAAAAAATGCAAACAAAGCTTAGTTTAAAGACTGCAGGATGACATGTTAAACTCATCCAAATGCTCATTAGTATAAAAATGTGTTGTTAATGGGAGGGTCTCTAGCACCCACTTTGCATTGCTTTCAAAACTGAAGCACGGAGCAGCTCTTTTTAAAGATAATTGGGGGGGGGAATCTTGTTTAAGATTTTAAATTTTTTGGAAAGATAGGAGGTGGTTTTTCTGCTGAAATACCTTAATGAGGAAAGGAACCAATCTTTCTTTTAGACAAAGAAACAATCTTGACCATGACCTCTGCTCTACAGAACAAACTATGTGCAAGTTTTAAATAAATGTAAGTACCACCTTAAGAACACAGTTGCTGTTCACAAGTAGGTTCCCTGGTTTAATGTCTCGATGTAAAATGCCAGCAGAATGTAGATATTTCAGACCTGAAATATTAAACAAAGTTAAAAGTAAAATATATTCGCTCCTAAAACCTGAAGCTAAGGGCATGTTTTCTTGGAGGACTTCATAAATCCAGTCTACAAAGACATGCACATCTGCTCACCTTTAGATGCTGCCAGTGGCACTAATGTTTTCATCTCACCAGTACTGGATCACTGCAACGTCTTGGCAGGATACAGGACAGACAACAATTATCTAATCACTATTCTCTAAATATTTTGCTCCCTGATTATGCAAATGTGTTTTGTGGCATTCTATTAGATACTGCTTTTTTCTCAATTGCATATAAATAACTTCTACAAGGATGAAATTCAGGTTTAAGAAAATTAAGAGTTGTGTTCAAGATGTTAATAGCCAGAGGCAATGCAACATGTAAAGCAGGTCTGAGTTCAATTTATTTTGTAGCTCATAGAGATGCACATTATTTTCTTTTAGACTATAAACTTACAAGCCAGTGGACAGATACTGATATTGGGAATATATAAAATAAAGATCCAAATGATGGTTCATTGTTCGGTCTTCTCGGTTATTAATGCAGAAGATTCAGGACAAGAACAAGGCAACATACAACATTTGGGCATGGTCATTAACGGCCTTTCCAACTCTCAGTGGGCTGGGAGGGAAGAGGATATACTCTTCCTCTTGGAAAGTCCCTAAAGTTGCTTCTCTTGAGTTTTTTGGGCCCTGCAGCAAAGATCTTGGTTTGTTTTCAAGAAAAATAAAAACATACAGTAAGTGTCTCATTAAACCATCAGTGAAGGATTATGCCAGCATGAAATTGTCTAGATATAGGAACTACAGCAGTAGACAGTCTGGCCCATGAAAAAGTGTACCCACCTCTCTGAGGATTATCTGGGGCAAATAAACTACCCACATGGTAGCAAGGGGATATGTGGAGGTTAAAGGCCAAGTGACTGGGCAGATGAAATACAAATGTAAGTACTGAAGAGACTCCATGCTGGTGGAAATAAAAAGGTTTACACCTAATCTAAAGACACTCACAGAAGAAGCACAAAAACCACCTGCCCCTCCAAAGGGCAAATCTCTTCAATAGTACAACAGGACTGAGTAGTGCCACTTTTCCTTTTTTAAGCAATTTAAATCCCTAGCGCAGGTTCATTTAATGACGCAATGTGGCCCAATCCCCAATCCCAACAATTGCACCTACTGACATGTCAGAGGGCCATGCCAGGAAGCATAATTGTGGCATCGGGGATCAGACCACAATTGTGCCATAAGTAAATGCCACTTGGAGACTCAGAGCTGTTTAGGGACAGTCCCGGGTCCTGTTCACCTGGGGCTGTCAGGACAGATGATCAGTTTCCATTAGAGAAACCACTGAAGGTAACATACAAACACCCCAAGCACTTTATACATATAGCAGTCTAGCAGCAGAACCAAGGGGTTCTTGAACACCTGTCATTCTTTCACAAACAGCATTAAACAAGAGGGTATCTTACTCCACACATTAGTGAGGACTTGGGTAGTCTTGGGGATAAAAGTTTTGAAATAAGAAGGAAATAAAAAATAATAATAGAGCACAAAGTTCAATATTTGTTCATCAGGCTTAAAACAGAAAAATTACCTCTTAAAATCTGGTAAAGAAAAACTTTGACGTGATCCGAGCTGAGTGGCTGAGGAGAGACGATAATCTTATGGAGGTCACTCTGCATCAGTTCGGTGACAACATATCTTCACGTTATTAGTTAAGGCAAGTACAGGAAGTCCAGCATATAATCCCCTTGAAACTGTTATTCAAACTCAGAAGAATTTAAACTCTTGTGTCTCAAAGATGTAGAGCAAAAAATAAGAACACTTCATGATATAATGGAGGTCACATCTTCAGACTTTTGCAAGAACAAACGTAGCAATTCAGTTGCAGGAGAAAAAGATTACTGAACAAAGCTGCATTTATAACAGTGTGCATATATTACAAAGTTATTTCCAAGCCAGAATAGGACTTGAGAAACAAGATAAGATGCCTTGTGTTAATTTAATCATATTTTATTTAAAATTTAAAATTTTGAGTTTAAATCCTCATTAAGTCACAAGTTAGAAGTGATTCTAAGGGCATCATCCTACTCCCTAGTAGATATTTCTCCATATCACACACCAGACAAGCTGGCAGGGATCAAGACAACTGGAAAATTGTGCCAAAACAGGCCCTAACAGGAGTGTATGTAGGTCAGTGCTGTGCTTCTATATGAAGCATGTACACTGCCTGCCTGCATTATATCCCGCTTCACCAGGTATTATCAAAGATTTTATTTTCTCAGGCACCAAATACACACACACACGCATAAAATCTTGGATGAAAAACTGTTTTGGAGTTGTCACATGATAAACAGCAGCTCCATAGAGGAAAAGATAGAAGCCACTACCTGGTAGCTAACAGCTACAGGTGTAAGACCAGGTATCAATTCAGCTGTAGCTGAGTATTTCAAAGCACTGTAAACACTTGCTGTCACTGGTGTGGAGATACTAAGTCAGCGTTTCCTAACCTTTTCCAGCCCAAGGCACACTTACATTAATAAAATTTCCCGTGGCACGCCTGTTAAGGCATTCCCCATCCTCATACCTACTGTAGCCCATTGCCATGGCAAAATTGCGCAGCACACCTGTTCACTTCTGACAGCACACTTTTGTGGCGCAGCATACTGGTTGGGAAGCACTCCACTAGATAAGAGGGGCACCATGCTTGCTCAAACATCAAGCTGCAACCATCAAGAAATGAAGATACACAGAAAAGCTAAAAACAAGCTCATTCCCCAAAAACACACCACACAGTTTCCTGAACTGGGAAAAAGAGTCAGGCTATAAGTAGTAAGGGAAGGTCCACAGGTGATGCAAACAGCTGCTAGCCAGGAGTCTGTATCCACCTCATTTACTGACAAATGATTTTTTACTGCAGTCAACAATGAAGGACCTACCTAGCCACAGAAGAACAAGCTGTTTCATATTCAGCCTCTTGTATCAACCAAACTGCCAGCTACGGTTCTGATTTAGGATCTTTATTGTGGATGAATGTCTGCAAAGATGCACAATCTGAAGTCGAGCAAGCACATCTTGATTTTCAAAAAACGACTGAACTGTCAAATGTTGACAGTTTTGAAAATCTTTTTTTCTTACAAGCTTGATAAGAAAATAAAGGACATACCATGAGCACAGAGGTGTTTTCAGAAGGAAGGCAGAATCTGAACCGGAACAGAAGATGTTCTATGGTTCTGCTAGAACATAGGTAACTCAGCATACTCGTAGCTGGAGTTGGTCAGTCAATTCTGTGTCCTTTATCTTAAACTAATGAATGGATCCTGTAAGTAACACGAATGCCCCCGCAACCAAAATCAGGCTGTGCTAGATATTACACATTGTACATGCTATGGAGACCCAACCATTTGGAGCCACTTGAAAAGAGGCAGGGGAGGAGGGGACACACCTCTTGCTCCAAACCTCACAACAGCTGTTACGTGTGGACAGGTGAGAAACAATACAAATGTAGGAAAAAAGCTTCAATTTTAGGCTTCATCTAGGGCAGTGCCTTCCCAAACATCTCAGCATGACCCCATTTCCTCAGCATCGCCCCTCACTCCCAACCCACAGCTCCCT